ACATTTAATTGTAAATGTATGACGGGAGAAGGCTGTGATAAATTGTAAAAACTTGTGCCCCATCCCTTGTTTAATTTTATTGGCAACAAATTTATGTTTAAAGCTAAATAAATTTAAATTCTGAATATTGGCAAGTGTGCAATTAACTTCTAATGATGAATAATTACTGTTCAATAAGTTTGAATACAGACTTAGAAATCATATAACTTGGTTTCATAGTGCGGTAAGAAGTTGTTATAGCCCACAGCGTATTATCTAAGTCCATGGATTATCTAAGTCCTGACAGCCCCTCTCTGGGGGCCCCTTTGGAAACTGTTTCATCTCGCTCGCACCACTTGTGTTTACTGCCTAGTCAGGTGACGTTATCGGCGCTATTTTTAGCAGGGCTTTCCCGAACAACTCAAGTGGTCAAACTGGACATTTGGAACAGACTATGAATATGGGGATAGCGAGGTAACATAAGTGGAAGTGCATACAATACATACATTCATTAAAAAAAATGCCTTTTCACGTGATGTCCCTTTAATTTCAACCAACAGGATTTTCCCTTATTAATAGCCCAATTAGTACAAAGACAGTGGGCAATTATTCTAATCCTACACTGGGTATGAAATACTATTGTGAAACCCTAGTTTATTGGACTAACAAGCCCCATTTCAAACTAGTTCTATTCACTAAAGAAATAAATGCTAAATCAATCAATTTTCACTTCCAGAATATCTTGAGAAGAGAAAACATTTGAAGTCCTTGTTTGAGGAGGACCTATCCTGTTTCAAAGGTACATTTAACTTCAGTGGTCTTGTTTACTGAACTGCCAAAGTCCAAGAACCATTTTATTCAAAGTACATTTGAAAACTTTGAACTGAGAGCAGGAGTCATCTTTATTCCATACAATAAATATTCCAGCTAAGAGTTGGACTTCATCGACTTCCTGTCTATTTGAGAACATTTTTATCGTAATGTGACAAGTTCTTTTTGAAACTTAAATACACAAAATTCTGGATTACATGGAAAAAGTGTTTTGTTAGTCTTTAGTTATTTGATGTGATTTCCTTTTAAGTCTTTTTGTTGTACCCTATTTGATGGTCCTAATGACCTTTTATGTATTGACGGGCCGTTAAGAATGTAATAATAATAAACTATTTATTGACTATCCACAGAATGTCAGTCTCACCATCCTTTCGCCAAGGATCAGTCCCCTCCCATTGGCAATGAGGACCAGTCCCCTCCAACAGGCATTGAGGACCAGTCTCATCCAACAGGCACTGAGGACCAGTCCCCTCCAACAGGCATTGAGGACCAGTCTCATCCAACAGGCACTGAGGACCAGTCTCCTACCACAGGCACTGAGGACCAGTCCCCTCAAACAGGCACTGAGGACCAGTTTCCTACCACAGGCACTGAGGACCAGTCTCATCCAACAGGCACTGGGGACCAGTCCCCTCCCATTGGCAATGAGGACCAGTTTCCTCCAACAGGCACTGGGGACCAGTCTCCTCCAACAGGCAATGAGGACCAGTCTCCTCCAACAGGCACTGAGGACCAGTCTCCTCCAACAGGCACTGGGGACCAGTCCCCTCCCATTGGCAATGAGGACCAGTCTCCTCCAACAGGCACTGAGGACCAGTCTCCTCCAACAGGCACTGATCATGAGGACCAGTCTCCTCCAACAGGCACCGAGGACAAGTCCCCTCCCATTGGCACTGAGGACCAGTTGCCTACCACAGGCACTGAGGTCCAGTCCCCTACCATAATTTTGACTTCTGGACTGAACCAATCACAACAGGTTTGAACAAGCTTGTGATAAAATCAAGTAAATATAGCCTTTGTAGCAAGCAAAAACAAAGAAATAAGGCAAGACCTTTCTGCCATTATGTTTGGAGGTTATAATATTGAGTGATTATGATTTTTTTAAGTGAATTTCTATTAATAAAGCTAATTTTGTCAACCTGATATATGGTTCATGTGAACATGTTGACATGATAATATTGTATTACATGTACATGTACATTAGTTTTTGTTTCAAGTATGAAGTCTGATAAGCATCTGTTTTTTGTGTAATGCCTTGATTTTTGTCTTTTGCACTTTTTTAAATAAAAAATAGCGACATTCTTGAGAGTATTTTTTTTCAACGTGATCAGAAAGCTGTGGTAGTATATTGATATATGCATACATTGTGCTGTCTACTGATATAGGTGTTTTTGTCATAACTGCAGGAAGATGTCAAAAATGTGTGCCGAACGTTCGGTTGGGGATTTTCTCATTCCTTTCACCCAAAAATCACCCATCTTGTCATAAAAACAGGTATGAAATGGATAAATGACATTTTGTCAATAAGTTGAATACTTGATTTAAATCTAGAAACTTCAGAGCAATATTAAAATTCTAATTATGTTGGATCATTACACCATTGAATAGTCAATTCAGTTTTAATCTGCATAACTAACTAAATTTGTGAGAGAATTTTTTTTTAAAATGCGTGTTTAACATGATGATATTAAACTGTCAATTCACCCTTGAATTGTAGAACCTGAAGAATGCAGAATGTGTGACAGAAGTCTGAAATTTTTACAAGCAATTGCACACCATGTTTTTATTGTAAATCTCCAATGGATAAGAGATTCAGGAAGTAAAGGAATTCGCCAATCAGAGGTAAGATAACTCATTAATGCTACACATTTCTCTGTTGCCTATATATATGAAAGCCATCACTTGCTTGCTACAGATTCATGAATGAAATGAACTTGTTATCTTTTGTGGTTTAGCCTAAGAGGTTATAAATAAATATGTACATGAAGATTGAAAATTCCAAGAAAAATACTTTTTATCACAATAGCATTTGTCAGAATGGAATTAAGCATTAAAGTAGTGGTTTCATTTTGTTTTTAACCTAGCTATTTTTCTTGGCAGAAAAACTACGAGGTTATTGGTGATACTGGCACCATTGAGATGCATAATGGGCCCTATCTATCACGGACAAAGTCTAGTCTGCTACTAAAAGGTTTCAATATCCACCTCATTGGACAGGCTGAAGATCTAACAAAAGGTAAGGATAAAGATATTAGTAAAAATGAATTAGTCTCAGTATTCATATTATAATCTTTGAGTACATTTAACAGTATGTAGTGTGATAAAACGACTATGATTTGTACTAGTTTTTAGGTCCTCCACTTTTAGATAACATTTTTCATTTACAACCTGACCATAAATGCTGTTGAAGAGATCAGAATGCCACCGACATTAATTTGACAAACTTTATATATTTTAGGATGACCTGGAAGTCTATTACTAATTTCATCAAATAATTCACACGTATAGATCTGATTTGTCTTCCAATTTCTGATAATATAGTTGCCTTGGTTCGAACTTCTTTCAATACAGTACCTGGAAAAATCTAAAATAAATTATGAAAATGCTTGGATATATAACATTGTGTGACTCATTTTTGTGTCGCCTGCAAAAGGTGACATATAGTTATCACTATGATGAGAATTTTATCATTTTCTTCATAATCTCCCAGCTTGCTTTGCAGGCGACACATCCACTTCCATGGAATTCTATTTAAACAATATTAGGTATATGAAAATTAGTAAAAAGTACTAATGGAGTAATGGTACTCATGCTGTTCATTGATATTTCAGATGACATAACAAAGTTGATTATGGCTTGTGGAGGTACAGTCATTGGTGCATCAGATGTGTGTCATGATTCTGTGATTGTCACATGCTATAGCCATGAGGGTGAAGAAATGAATGTTTTATCTCCAGGAGAAAGAAATGCAGTGAAAAGTAAGAGATTGTATTTATTGTATTTTGCTATGCTTATAGATTTTAATTTGACAATTTTCAGAAACTAACCAATTCCATTGGGAGGGATCAAATTATGCTATAGTATTGACTTGTAAAAGATTATGAAACTTAACAATATATTTTGTCCATTTTCAACACTGAAGAAATTCAATTTGAATAATTATACCAACATTTAAATTTTATCAAAAACTTACAAAATAAATTAGTTTTTAACTGTTATTACAATTTTCAATGCTCATTTTTTACTTTTGCCATTACTTTTTCAGAGGTCTATGAAGAATACAGTATCAATGCTGTTTGCAGGGAATGGATCATTGATTCGCTCACATGTTTTGCTGTTCAACCAATTACTGAATATATACATGTACGTTTCAAGAAGTTTGATGTGAATGAATACATTATGATCTGCAGTGGTGAAACGGTTAAACAATTTATGTAGATCAAACACCAAGTACATTGTAACCATACATACCCTTTGTGTGAATGTATAATAAAAAATGACAACTATCGCCTAGTAGAGATGATGGCTATTTCACCGATTACAGTTTACTTAAAATGCGTACAATTAAAGTGTAAGGAAACATTCATGAGCACTGTCATGATTTGTCTTCCAGACTTATTTCTATTTAGATTTTTTTTCCAATCAATTTCCTGTCTTTGATAATTTTCTTTCTGGCAAAGAAAGTATGTATAACCAAACACAGGCAAATGCGTCAGGTCAGTAATCCGGCGATTCTCCCTTCCCTCTAGTTAAGACGAGGTCCCACACTTTCCGCCGGGGGGGGGGGG